GGTATTGTGCAGAAACTATTTACCAATACACAAAGAGACGAGGTAAGGTCTAATTCCCACTTCCGAACCCCTGAAACTCTGAACCCCATAACCCTGAACTCTGAAAGCTTGAATCCTGAAACCTTGAACCTCAACCCCCTGAAACCGTGAAACCTTAACCCTTGAAACCTTGAATCCTGAATCCCTGTTATCTTGAAACACGAACTCCTGAATCTAGAATCCTGAAACCTTGAATCCTGAAACCCTGAATCCCGAAATCTCGAAACGTTGAATCTCAAACCCCCTGAAACCTTAAATCACGAATCCTTAAAACCTTGAATCCCTGAAACTCGGAATTAGGAACCACTTGAATCCTGACCCCTGAAAACTTGAAACCCGAACATCTGAAACCCCGAACCCCCCAATACCCCGAACCCGAACTCTCCTCGACCTTTACGGAGATAACGAAGCCATATTTCTCGGTAATGAAACCCGATTTTTCCTCATTGCTTGTAATCTTTTTTAATTGGTTATGAGGAACTGAAATGTATATTATCACATTTCCATGAGTATTGTAGTGATTCTTTTTTTTTAAATAGCTGTGTAGGTAATAACAGTCAGATAATTGGAATATACGTAAAATTATTAGATGAAAGATTGTTTTTATTTTGGTTTTGGTTTTAATTTGAAAGTATAACGTTTTAGATTAAGCCTTAAGGGGTTTTTGGGGGGGATTTCTGGGGACACATACGACACATATATAGGAAAGAAAAACGATTATATTATTACAAACGAGAGACAAGGGTGGTATGTAATGATACATATTTTGGGGTTAGGTTAGGTTAGGTTAATTTAAGTTTGGTTGGATTGGTTAGGTTTTGTTGGTTAGTTAGTTTAGGTTAGTTAGGTTAGATTAGGTTAGGTTTAGTTGTTTGGGCTAGGTTAGAATAGGCTTGGTTGGTAAGGTTTATGAAAGTAAATACTGACTTAATTATTACTGTAACGGTTCACAATAAGTCACCCAATCACTTAAGAGTAAATCAATTGGTATATAAACTGAAGTAATTTATATAAGGTTTAACTCTTTGGTTTAATTTCTGAGTTTACTGTATTGGAAATGTGGAGAGATCCGAGAACAGTGTGAATGGTAGTATCGCTGGAAATAGTTTAGAAATTTTATTGCCTAGTGGTCACCATATCCTGTCGTGGCTTCGTCAAGAGGAGGCGAAGTGAGTGGATGGGCAAGAGGGACATCCATGAATTATTGAACGTCTTTCCTCCATCCATTCTCCTTTTTTTACTATAAGAGTTGTTATTGTCTTCGTTGTCTTGAGCGGTAAACTACTCCAAAAGCTTGTTAGTTTCTCATTGAAGGGAAAGGCTTTTGTATCTCACACCAACACCCACATTGATGGGAGGGAGTGACATGGATGACTCTATTTGTCATCGTAGGATTCGAGGTGATACGGTTTGCTTGCTATCTGAAACTTCGTGTGGGTATGAATCCTTTTCGGACAATTCTGTTGTTTCTTGTATCTATTGCAAGAAGATGTGGCCGGCTTAATTCTGTGTGCAGCCAGCTTGATTCTGTGGACGGCCAGATTGAGTATGTAGCAGCCAGCTTGAGTCTGTGTCTGCCATCTTGAGTCTGTATCCACCAACTTGACTGTGTCAGTCAGCTTGAATCTTTGGCCACCATCTTGAGTATGTGGCTGCCAGCTTGAGTCTTTGGCCACCAGCTTGAGTCTTTGGCCACCAGCTTGAGTCTTTGGCCACCAGCTTGAGTCTTTGGCCACCAGCTTGAGTCTGTGGCCACCAGCTTGAGTCTGTGGCCACCAGCTTGAGTCTGTGGCCGCCAGCTTGAAGAAAGGGTTGAAATTCTGTCGTGTTCAGTGCTTTATATCGTCCTTCACATCATGTGTCGTCTACATCACCCCATTTATTATTTTCCATCAACAAAATCGTTTCCTTAAAAGTCGCCGCAACAGCTCCAGCTAATCTAAGCCCTGGATTCAATTTCCTATTCCCAAGGTCGTATGATCCATGCCAAGGGTCTCATTACCCACTCCGAGCATTTCATTCCAAAGTCTGGGGATTTTGTTACCTGTTCCAGCGAATTCCATTTCCCAGGATCACTTTCATCCAGCCATAAGGTTCAGTTACTTGGGTCGAGGGTCATTAACACCTTCAATACAATAATTTAACCCACCTGACTACAGTATCATCGTATTCGAAGGAAGAGGTCATCGTTTCCAGTGGTTCAAGGGACTCTACTCCAGGGATGATATTGGTATTCTCAAGGAGTTAAGTCATCGAATTCAAGGGGTTAAGATACTGTAATCGATGGACTAGTTTATTGTACTCGGAGGTTGACATCGTACTGAAGGGGCTATGAAAACGGAGACGTGCGGAAGGTACCAGAGATGTTACTTAGAGACATTAATTAACGAAATAACAACAACTGGTAACTGCTTCAGCGTGGAGTTGCCAAGTGTAGCTAGAGAAAGAAATAATAATGTCACTAATATAAGAAGGCGAAGTAACGTATAACATTTGCTCGGTAATAATGAATGAACAAATTAAACGATGTGGTCGGTATTGCATTTGACCGCCTTCACTTCCCTCATCTGTAACGTTAGGTGCCCATTTACAGTTGGGTGAACTGAGGGTGCCCCGAGCTCGAACTAGTGACCCAAAGGACAATATGCGAGCACTGTAGCCCCTCTGCCGCAGAACTCCATTTGTAATATAGAGAAATGGAAATTTAAATGTCTGTTGACGTTGTGAACAAGTAATTGATGAGGTGTGTTGGGAGGGGGTGGAGGGAGGTAGCCTGTATAATGAAAGAAAGATAGAAGTGAAAGTTGAATGAACAAATAGATGTTAATGAAGCGAATGAATTGGTGAAGAAAATTTATAGGCACCATCTGTACAGCTACGGAAGGTTAGATTGCGTTAGGCTAGGCTAGGCTAGGTTAGGTTATATGAGATTAGATTAGGTAAAGTTAAGGTGAGTTTAAAGTAGGTTAGGGTGGGCTGTAGGCCAGACTGTCCTATCAATATTTTTCCTTCTTGATTAATTAAAAAGTTAATTGTTGTGTGACAATGTCGTCTGTGTGCGTCTGTGTGTCTGTCGTTGTATAGGAGTGTGTATGTGTCTGTGTAGGTTTTATTTATATATCTCCTTTGTCTTTGTATATACTTTTGTGCATGTACCCGTGTGTGTGTGTGTGTGTGTGTGTAAAACTATACTTTATGTTGTGGACCTAAATTTCACATACACCAAACTGCTAGTCGAGCCGCAAAATTTACCACCGCTACAATCTTTCTCGCTCACACAACTTCTCCCTTACTGCCAGAAAAAAAATGAGTGTCAGAAAATTGAATACCACTGTTACGTAAAGGAGGAAAGTGGGGGGGGGGAGGTGAAGAAAGAAAGGATGTGGCATTATAGTAGTTACTCACCTGCCCTCTTTACCTGACACCATGACAGATGAGGCCTATACATCACTGTTATAGGGCGGTGTAGGGTGTCCCTCGGGCTGTCGAATGTTCAAGGGCCTCACTACAGAGATTAATGCCACCCAGTAGAATATAACCTCTCGCTATTCGGTGATTTTTTTTCTCTCTCTCTCTCTCTCATGTAAATTTATCTCCCTCTACCGCTTGATGTCGTTGTAGATGTATAATTTCTCTTCGCGTGTCTGTTAGTACGTGGTCTTATTCGTCCACCCAAATGCGTTCCTCCATGAAGAAAATATTGTTTAGTCTTTAAACATAATAAGAACGGATTTATTTTTTACATGCATTTGCTCTACCCGACGGAAAATGCACGTGTGGCTTAATGCTTATGTTATGTGTGGTATAATGTTTGTTATTTTTATTAGTGTTTGTTTATAGTAAAGTGTTATGGTCTTGAACAGCTATAAGTTTGTACATGTTAAGGAGAATTGCCTTTGTCTGATGTTTTCTTGTTGATAATCGAGTTGGAGATGTCATTTGAAACCTGTAGTTGGGCAGATTTACGTGATGTCTGAGGTTGGTGGGTTAACTGATGTGTTGGGGAGGGGGTTCAGTTGACGTCTGGACACGGGGTTCAATTGACGTCTGGACAGGGGTTCAGTTGACGTCTGGCCACGGGGGGTTCAGTTGACGTCTGGGCACGGGGTTCAGTTGACGCTCAGTTGACATCTGGACACGGGGTTTCAGTTGACGTCTGGACACGGGGTTCAATTGACGTCTGGCCACAGGGGTTCAGTTGACATCTGGACACGGGGGTTCAGTTGACGTCTGGACACTGCTTTAGTTAACGTCTGGACACTGGTTTAGTTAACGTCTGGACACTGGCTTAGTTAACGTCCTCGACCCCCCCCCCCCTCAAGGCTTTCTTCAGCCATTAACCTAAATATTAAGTGTGAAGACAGACTCAGACTTCTCTTGACCATTTGATTTGTTTATAATAATTCGAACATGAATGGTATCACTGACTAGTTGAGGGGGAGGTGAGGGAGGGGGGGAGGTGAGGGAGGGGGAGATAGATGGAGGGACGAGAAGGCCTCATCTAAGTAGGCCGTAGATGCGACAGCAAGATTGATTATACTTCTTTTCACAAGTTGGGATGGTGAGAGGGAATCACTCTAAGGGGGATTGGGAAGAATTAACGGGATGGGATTGGATTGATTGTAATGTTTTTGTCTGTTAGTTGTGCGTCTCGTTAACCTGTATAAAAAAAAATGTGTTTTCTTTAATTTGATGGGGACCTAAAATAGATTTGGAAAGAAAAATGTTTGATGATTTTTCAGTAGAATGAAATACTTGATTTACATTCTCCGAAATATTCTTGATTTGAGCTTAGATTCTGATGGGCTGTGCAGTGATAGTGACAATGTGTAAACAGACTAGCGGTGAGAAGAGAGCGTAGTTAGTGACCTGTACAGCACAAAACAACAACTTTCAGGCATCAGAAAGCACGAGGGTGTATCTTGGTTGTGTGAGTCTAAGTAAAGTTCAATCTGATAAAGGACAGGGAACATTTTGCAAATGCCAGTGAGACTTTAATACTTTTTCTTAAAATTCCTAGATAGTCTTATGTGACGCTGAATATCTTGAAGAAAACTTGAGTTCGTCGTGTGATGTCTCCAGCGTGCCTATCTTAACCCCCCTATTGTGCCAAGTGTCACGCAGACACACACTACAAGATAGTGTAACCTAAATCACCCAGTCTCTCTCTATCACCACACCTGAGGTAAAGTGGCAGGTGCCACATAACCGGGAGTGCCCCGTGAACAGGTCCCTTCTTGGCACCTAACAAGAAGCCGGATTTAGGGTGTCACTTAAAACAGACTCCTCTTGGCACCTCACAAGAGCAAAGATCCCAAGTGCCACATCTCCAGGGAGTTTCACCTGTTAGCCTTGGCACGTGACAACACCCGCTCCTCCCTGTGTGTGTGTCGACCATGATGGTGCCTCGCCTGGTGACCCTGGCGCTGGTGCTGGCCTCCGCCTCCACACACACCTTCACCACACACAGGTATGGTCTTAAAGCTTCCTGTCACTATTCTTCTTCTTCGTGTCTTTTATTTCTCTTGTTGACATGTCTTATGACCTCTTGTTATCACCATTGTCTCCTTGTGCTTTGGAATCCCCCTTCCTCTAACCTGTCCTCCTCAACCCTTCCCTGTCCCGCCCCACCCCGTCCCCGTCGTGCCCCGCCCCATCCCCGTCATGCTCCGCCCAGAGGAGTCCAGGTGATTACAAGGTAGGTGATGAACGAAAATATTAAGAATATTAACGCACTTCAGTTATTTTTGTGTCATTTATGAAATATTAATCGTTTGAATGATGTGTAACTCGTGTCGTATACTTATTAAAAAATCACGTGATAACTTATAAACCTTGTTACTTAATTAGTGTGTGTGTGTGTGTGTGTGTGTGTGTGTGTGTGTGTGTGTGTGTGTGTGTTCCTCTCTCTTCTCCTCGTGACCTTCTCATGGTAGGGTCTCTTTCTCACACAACTGTCAGCTCCACATTCCTCCTCCATCTGATCGTTTCTCTGCCGCTGCCATCCATTCTCTTGTTATTGGTTTACCTCTCCTCCTTCTCCTTCTCCGTCTTCCGCGCTCTTCTTGCCAGCCTCTTCTCCTCCATTCGCTGTAGATGTCCAGCTCACCTTAACTTACAACCAGCTATAGTTCTCCTGTGAAACGCTTCCTCGTCTTAATTGCTCTCTCTCTCTCTCTCTCTCTCTCTCTCTCTCATCGCCGTTAACCTCCTCCTTTCCTCCCCATTTATTCAATATATTTTTCGAACCAAATTATTCCCCGGTACTTCTTTTCAAAATTACGTATAAATAAGAGAGTGAAGATCCCTAATAAGAATGGCTTAAAGACCACATCCACTTTTTATGGGCATTTCGTTTTTGTTTTGTTTCGGGGGGTTTTTTTCGTGTTTTTTTTTTTTTTAGTTTTTTAGTTTTTCCTATTCAACAAAGTGCTGGGGATTATATAAATGATTCCCTCAGCTATCGTCCGTCGCTTGAGTTTCGTTTCCGGAATGTAAATGAAAATTATATTCAAATACCACGAGAAATGAGTGTGTGTGTATATAGATGAATTAAATTTTTTACAACACAATATTGAGTTGATTCTTGTGCTATAGGGTTATTTATTTCCGAGTTATTTTCCGGTGAGTCTTTTTATTTATTTCTGTGTCCTTGTGTGTGTTCGTTGGTGAGCCAGATGATGTTCTCCTGATTCACTTTATTGTTGTTGTTGTTGTGTACATTAGTGTAGAAAGCTTTATGAATGATACCTGACACCCACATGTATTATTCACTTCATTCATATTCGTTGTATAAGTAAAGTAGATTCAGCTGTATCGTCATAGGTTCTTGCTTCCACTCTGGCCTTTTTACTTATGATATATTACATTTACACTACAATTGTTTCCCTCACATGAAATACAATCAATAGCAGGTAAAAACTAGCACGTCTCTTTAGTGGTGTGTGTGTGATGAGTATTGAGGTTTTAACATTTGATCTTTTTAATCTCCCCAACTGATGTTTCATAACTAAATAACAAAGAGAATGTCCGCATTGATAATTACAGTACACAAGGGTAGATGTTGTTGCTGAAGAGTTGTTAGTTGTTCAGGTCAGGTTGTGTATTACTGTCGTTGGTGGTGCTAGAATGTGTACTTTGTTGTTAGTATAGCTTATTCTATTGGGGTTAAGCCTTGTTATGGATATACAGTATATTATGTGTGTGTGAAGGAATATTTTTACAGTAATATTTTTTTTTTTTTTACACACGTTTATCTCCAAGACTCCACCACTCTCACAGACTCACCGAGTGTTGTGAACATGACAAGAGGCAGTAACGAGGCCTGACAGTTACCCAGCGTGTAGTGAAACAGATTAATGCAATTTCATGTCTTTGTCGACATCCTTTGAGCCTGAACTGAGGTCTTAGACCGTACCTTAACCAGTTTATGTCCTTTGATATCACCTGTAGTGTCTCTTGACCTAGTATTGGACCTCTTTGTTATCACACTTTACCCCCGTCTGACCCCATTGAACGCTTTATTTACCTTCTCATCTCTTGCACTTGGACCCCGAGTGAACCTTGGGGCCGTCAGTAGCGTAAACACTCTCAGGTGCCGGGGGTTGTGTTACACTGTATTGCCTCCACTTCGTCGTCTCAACCTCCTCGGAAGTTTCTTGTGACTTCCTTCCCTCAACTCGCCGTGAGTCTCTGTGTCTCGCTAGAACCTCTCTTGATTCTAGTTCTGTTACCTGCTTTAATCACCATCCACCTGTCCTAACCATAGACGCATGTTATGTTTCTGCTTCACTAAATACGAGTTGTGCTCTTGCGAAATGTTTAGGTAGAAGACCATAAGAGGATTTAATGAGGCTGAGGATGAAGGGGTCAGTGTCTTATTGTAAACAAACCCAACAGACTACAGATGCACTAAGTAGTAAAGTTAATACAGGTGTGTTTAGATGTTACTTAAGGTAGAGCTGCTAAATTATCGATTATTATATAAATTAAGGTTTTGTTCCGGTGACAATTATAGACCATTAACCCAGATACTAGTTGAGACAGTCAGTTGGGTTGGTTGTGATAGTGGTGGTGATGGTGACGGTTGGTGGTGGTGGTGACTGTGGTTGTGTGGTAATGGTAGTGGCGACGGTGGTGGTTTGGTTTTGTGGTGGCGGTAGTGGCAGCTGGTTACAAATAAAACCCCAGCAAGCGTTACACAGTTTACACAGCACCGTCACCAGGTCTTAGCCCAATCAGTTTTTTTCTTTTTTTTTTTACATATATTTGCTAACAAATTCGTAAACATAAACAAAATAAGGTTGGTGTAATGCATGTGTTATCCTCCAGGTGGCTCTGACCTATAACACACTCTCTCTCTCTCTCTCTCTCAGGCCTACTAGGTAATGAAACACGAATTCTTGTTTTGTTTTTTCTCCATAGACTCTTATCATTTCCTTTGGGACAAACCTTGTACTATGTCTGCCCTCTCTTGGGGTGTGGTGAATAACGCCGTGGTAAGACAAGGAATAGGATGCTTTGTTGTCCGGCAGCTTCTTCTTCCACCTCTCAGTCTGGTCTTCTATCTCTACTTAACACCATTATTATTTTCTATCTATATTTATTTATTTATTTATCTTATATATTATTTCCTCCTTGATTTAGCCACTGAGATAAAAAATGGCAAATTCATGTTATAAACTTACTTTAGTTGAAGATATGGATAAGTGTGTGTGTGTGTGTGTAATAATAATAATAATTAACGGTTTATTGAAAAAGTTCTGCAGCCCGAAGGCTGAAAATGTGCATTGGACATAAATGACTTATTACATACATTGGTGGTTGAACAAAAGCCTACATTAGAGAAAGGTAAAGGAACATACAGTGAACATACAGATTAATGTTTACAGCGGAGGTCACGTAGATCTTGTGCGCTGAGGTGTTAAACAGCAAACATGTAGTGTAGTAACTACCTCACAGGTGGTGTTATGAGGGGCATCACGTGGTGTAGTAGTTCCCTCACAGGTGGTTTTATGAGAGGCCTGATGTGGTGAAGTAATTCCCTCACAGCAGTGGTGGGCACGGTTCCGCTAATTAGCGAAGCTAACTTTCTCGTTAGCGGATTAGCGTTTTTGCTAACTTTGGAAACCATTAGCTGACCAATTAGTTTCCGCTAAATTTAGTTCCGCTAACTTTAAGTCCGCTAACAAAATTTATACATGTTTGTTCCTGTCTGTTGTAAGGTGTGCCGCCGCGACGCGTGTCTCCAACAGCCAGCCAGGCACGCTTGGCTGACTGCGTGTTAGTACGTGCAAACGTCACAAGACATGATTTGTCTACGCCGTGCTGCAGCAGCTGAGCTGCATTGTGTAATTCCACAGTTCTAAGTTCAGTTCACTTACGACGTTGTCAAATTACAGACAGTCTAAGCAGTCTAGCCTATACAGTACTATAGTTTTTGGATTCGTTTAATACTTTGTCTTTTCGTACAGTAAATAAAGATTATAAAGTGTATGTTGAAACTTGAATGTAAACTAATGTTTAATTTCATTTGTTCATTTAATTATTTGTGTACACCTTGATCATCATCTGATCTTGGCATGCTATACCTTTTTGGAAAGCTCTATGTCTAAGCTACAAGACAACATATGAAAATTTCAGCTCTCTAGGTCTGTTTTTAAGGGTTTTTAGAGCCCCCCAAAAAACAAACCGAAGCTAAATTCATATAATATAAGTTAGCAGTTCGCGTTAGCATCCGCTAATTTTTTTAGCTGTTTAGCGGTTTAACGTTAGCGAAGTTAACTTTTTAGTTAGCAGATTAGCGAAGCTAACTTTTCGTTTAGCTTTACCCACCACTGCCTCACAGATGGCGTTATGAAGGGCTTGATGTGGTGTAGTAATTCCCTCACAGATAGTGTTATGAGGGGCCTCGCATGGTTAAGTAATTCCCTCACAGATGGTGTTATGTTTGGCCTCATGTGGTGGAGTAATTCCCTCACAGATGGTGTTATGAGGAACCTCACATGATGCTGTAGCAACTCATTCGCTACGTGGTGTCGTAGCATCATGGGGACACCACGTGGTCTGGTGTCACAGGACCTCACTCACTCAAGTGAGTGAGGTGTGGTCCCAGGCCTCCCTATCGTGGACGGATTAACACATAGCTGGTGTTGTTGAGTCTCACGTGCAGTTATCACTGGGTACCTGGGACCTCACTGTGTGAAGGTTAGCTTGGATGCTACTCAGCTGTTACTGTTGAGTTGTTTTTCACTGACTTAAGCATTGTTCACCACTATTCAACACTGGTTTCATTCCTTTCCTAAATGAAATAGTAACTTCTGGCGAGAACTTGTTGATATTCCGGTGAGTAGGAGGGGTTCAGGGGAGGGAGTTGGTATGGGCCAACATAACAGTTGACCTGGCTGCTGCCAGAGCAGCGCCAGGTGCGTCTTGACCCTTCGGTGGTCAAGGATGAAGTGTGTGTGTGTG